GGGAACTCTTCCCAGGGGAAGTTAACTCCGTCAAGATACACAAACACAACCCAAAAGCAAACAAAAAAGGATACATTTTCCCAGACACAACAGCAGACCTGCCCCTCTCCTCTAAGCAAACCTACTGCTGCCTACGTGATACACACAAACCCCTGGCTCTTTGTAAGTACAAGGAAATGCATATTTCATTACACCGACATTCCAGCCACCTACAACAAAAATAATTAATGACTGCTTAATGGCCCCAATGAGGGTTTGGTTTTTTTGAAGCATTTGAATAGATTAAACTTTATTGCCAGCGAGAAGCTATAGATCATTTTGAGCCAGAACAAATAGATGTGATATTAGTCACTGCTCTGCATTTATCTAAGTCAGTTATTTCTGAATGACTGAAATAACAAGCGCCTACAAGTAGGAGTAACAAAACCAGTGCAAAACACTGCGCAAGCAGCTACAGAGTGACCAAAGTAAATGCAGGAATAGGAGCATTCCTGTGTCCAGGCACCCCTTGTGCTTTCCTCCCTCTCCAATCCAAGCGCCCAGCACAACCCAGTAAGGATGCAACACAGCAAAGCCAAACGGTGTGAGCTGTCACAGGGGGAGCAGCAGGACCACTGCCACATCTGAGCACTCAGGAAACCACTGCCAGACAAAAAGGATTGCTTTGTACAAAGCCTGAAGGAGTTCAATTCATTTCCTGGGTTCAGAAACCTTGTGTTTCCTATGCTGGAGCTTTACTCTGCCACAGCACCCTCTGGTCAACACTCCCCACGGTCCCCAAGTGACAGCAAAACCCCTTAGTGACACTGCCCTCCCTTGCTGGCTGCTTAGGAGCATCAACACCAGTTTTCCCCCATCCTTTGGACACTGGATGTTTTCCTCCCTAATTCCCAGCCCACCTCATGTGATTGAAGCAAGACCATGGAAGAGCTTGGGAAATCCCTTCACCCCTGTGCCAGGCCAGCGTGTCCCTGGTGACTGGGGATCACAGGGAGTTCGCAATACCTGAGGTGCACCAGCTATTGTCGTGCGCTGCGGGTTTAGTGCTGAGCACTGCTGCAGTATTTATGAAGTGGTTTCAGTTCCTGTGCTACACTGACACGGTGTGAGCAGTCATAAACAAGCCATCTTTGCAAGTGGAATTTAAAGGTGTTTTGCAGTGCTGTGTTCTCTAACAACCCCATCACTTGTAAGGCAGAAACATTCAAAGTTCAAGTCCTGCAAATGCATTTACCGTTTTGTTACTACCATTAGCAGAAGCGTTACTCAGCTGACGAACAGACCCAGGTCCCCTCTCACCACTGGTAGTACATCCCTCCAGCCTAGTTTAGAACTAGGTTTAGGTTAGCTTCAAATACAAGATGAGTCTCATGGAAAGTTAAAGCTAGCAAGAAGCTCTTAAGAGGCATTTTAAAAGTAAAATACAAACTTCAGGCAGACACCATGGGGATAAAAGTGTCTGTTTAAACTGTCAAACATTAACATATAATACTATTTATTGCCTTCCATTGGCTCCCTTCTGCACATTACCCATCACACTAATGGCTGTCCTGTTATTAACCATGGATTTCATGGTCATTAACTTGAGTTCAGCAAGTCACAGATGACTTTATTAGGCATGACGTTGATAATCACTATCTTAATTGCACAAGCTGTCCTCTATACCCACCCTGAACACAAGCTGTTTTCAAGTTGAGGCAACATTACCCTCTCCATTGGGCAGCGCAGCATGCCATCCCATAGGCTGCTTTGCCAGCTAAAGAAACTAAGGGAAAGAATTCAGGGTAAGAGCTTCCCATTGTCTGTGCTGCTCTGAGGGACAAGCCACAGCTGATAAGGCAGAAGTGAGGCCACAAGGACCACATTGTGCTCAAGGTTTTGATAACAAGGCTAATGGAGAAGGGAGGGGAGATGGGGCTCCATCATCAGACTGGATCAGGATTGTGGCCACCAAGCCTGTCTGCTTCAAAACCACAGAAAATAAGCTTTTTAAGCAGGTGGTTGGGCCTTCCCTGTAGAGGTAGCACAAGCAGATTGACGTGGAGCAAACATCACATTAACATTGCTAAAGCATAAACTGTCATGCTGCAAATTTCCCCCTCCTTGGACCATTATAGACCCCTGAGCCACGGTATCCAAGATGGGCAAATCAACCCTCTTGGCTGGGTCTGATAGGAGAGAAGCAATCTTCTCTTTCAAACAGAATGTGGTTTAAAACTAAAACCAAAGTGAGAGCTATGCTGGTCATGCACTAGCTCATTAGCTTTGAAGCAGGCCTGGGCCCAAGTGCAAAGCATGGTCTCCTTGTTATCATTGTTAATGGAGCTCAGCTGATCCCATTGCTCAGCCTCCCAGGTAAGAGGTTCCCTCCTCCTTGCCCCATCAGCTCTTAGCATGGAAACCCAGGTCTGTAGGGTTGCTGTTTGTATAGGTCACCTGTGGCAAAGACACCTCCCAGCACCCTGCCCTGTTTCTTTGCGCTGGAGACAGTATGACGTGTTTCAGATACCAAGATTACAGACCCCAAAAATCCACTCCCAAACCCAAAATTTAAACAAACAAACAGATCCACCCCCAAACAGAACAGAAAAACACAGTTCTGAAAGTTCAGATTTCTCATATTACACTGGAACCAGCTGATGGGATCCTCATGAAACTTCGGATTTCAAAGCAGGAGAAAAAAAGTGGATGAGTATCCCCCAAACCGGATTCCACACCAGGCTCAGCTGTACTACTGGCAGGGACAAACTCATTTCTGCACGAGCAGCATTAAAGCACATTCACACCCTCAGGGCATGTAAATGTGAGGTTACCAAGACACAAGCCCTCATATAATCCTCAGCTCTCCCCCCCCAACTAAAGCACAACCTTCCCAGATCAACAGAGTTTTCCCCAGGCACAGGAAGTCTTTATGGCTCCACTACAGGACCGCAGCCTTAGATCTGCTCAATCACAGCTGTGGCACTTCTGCCTTTTACATAGACCCTTCCTGATAACTTTTATTGCACAGTTTAGAACCATAATGCAGCATGTGATAAATACTTGTGTTAGCTCTGCTCACATGAATGGCTTTAACTCGCAGCTTATACTTAGTAATGAATGTCAGAGTATGTGTTAATAAAAAATTAAATCACCAGAGTGTGGTGTCAGGGTACGTACTTCAGTAACCTAATGCTGTTAAGTTTGCATGTCATGTGAACTGTAATATCCAGTAGCAAGGAACAGGCTTTCCTATTCCCTTTGGAATGTTTTGCACTCCCAGATATTATTCTGAAGAGGGACATACGCTTTTAGTATGTATCTATTATAACATTATTAGCCACACTCCTAATTAATCTTTAGGAATTCCAGGCATATTTCATTTAGTTCTTAGCAAAGGAAAGGGGAGGGGGGGGAAAGGTGCCTTAACAACTATTTGCATCGTAGAGTTCATAAATGAGCCCATCACCCTATACCAGAACTGCTATAATTTTATCGGAATGAAAACCATTCTCTTTGATCTCCTCCAGTTCTTAAATCCAGCAGTTGTGTATTCAAACATCAATGGAAATGTGGTTTCAAGCTTCCTCTTTCATTATCTTTCTCAAAGATAAAAAAGAGCAAAAGGAAAAAAAAAAGAAAGTTCTGAGCTTTAGAGATGAGGCAATATTTTTACAGTAATTTCTTTATCTGATTTCATCCTGTTTACAGAAGCTGCTGTTTGGAAGATTCCCCCCCCCCCTTTTGAGATGGCTTTTCTTTAAATAAACGTATATTAAAAAATAGAACAGACAACAGAGGCAGCTTCCTGCTTGCTCTTTATTGTGAAGGAGATAAGGTTGCTAAATGCTGTGCTATCTGACTTTGGTTCAGTGCGTGACCTACATGGATCAAGATGGAGATTTAATGATTAAACTTAACTCCTTTATCTTCAGCAAAGAGGGAAGGGGGGGGAGGAAGAGTACTCAAACAAACTACTTATGTTCTGGCATGATAGAATTACAGTTCAACACGATAATTAACTATCTGACACATTCCTGCGAAGCTGCAGATGTCATTAATGGCTCCAAAATGCCCCCTCTGTTGTCATAACCCAGAGCTCTTCTCAGCAGCCAAAACAAGCATGCACTCTAAAGAGCATCACAGTTGGCAAAATGCATTTCAGCCCTCCTCAGCTGATTCAGACAGACACAGGTGTGTTTCATGGTTCCTGTGCCACTGATACACAAATCCAGGAGCAAATTCAATTAAAACAAACCAGGTCCTTAATCTACCAAACCCATAAAAGCATCTTAATCACTTCTGTCCAAGGCCCTGGACTCCAATCTTCCTACTAGCTTCTTTACAGCTCTTGAAACGTATCTTGATCTCTCACATCCACTAACACAGTCACCTCACTGTTATACATCCAGCATCCCTGAACAAACTAGAAGACATAAACTTCTAGAATGTTCCCAGGCTGCTCCTCCTGCACCCTATCAAGCCCACTGCAAGTAGATCCTAACAATCTTGACTTAATCTGCTACAAATACAAACTTCAAAAGGTCTGGCTCTTCAGTTCCAATGGGCTGTAAAAGCTGCACATACTTATGCATGCAACCCTTGCGCAAAAGGAACCCAAAAGAGCCTGGCAATCCATCCCAAGAAACCAAGCAAGCTCCAGCCTGGCTTCACCACAGGGGCCACCTGAGCTTTGGAAGCACCCAGATCAAACTGTGGACACTTTCCTTTTGCATGAGAGCCACATGACATGCAGCAGGTTTAATGAAGTTTGTTCTTAGCATTGTTCCAACCCTCCAGGGCTGCTGTCACCCACGTGGATCAAAACAGCAGCACCTATTTGCATCAACTCCCACTGGAAACAAGACACAGCAGCCATCAGCTTCTGCAACATCCAGAGCAGCAACAAGCTCTCTGTACCTTCCATACCATAGAGACGTGGATTGCATCAAGAGCAAAACTCACTCTCCACCTTGGAGCACCAAAGTTCATTGAAGGAAAGAATGAATTTAGGATCTTACCTTCCAAACCATCCCTGCAGAGCTGCAAGACCAGCTACCTCAGTGCCAGAGGAGCTTCCCTGCCAGGAGTCCCAAGGCAGCCCCAGCAGCACTCTCTACCCACTCAGCTGGAAGCATTTACCTTAATTAATGAACCCACATGCAGCTGAGAGCAGCATTTCTGCCCCCTCCTCCTCCCAAGGGCTCAGCAGAAAAACCTGGCTGCCCCCAGACAGGAGGGGTTGGTTGCCATGAGCAGGTTCATAGCAAAACTGGTTCTGTCCTGCTGCTTCCTCCTGCGCTGGATGGGGTGGAAGAGCACTTGTCCTTGTGCTCTTCCGTTTTCTGATAAGCAGCTTGGATAAAGAATGAAATTGTTTGGTCACTTCCCAGAGCTCTTTTCTCCCATCTTTCATGGCCTTCCTATGTTCCCCACCTCCCTTTGCCCACACAACAGCATAACATCCCAAAACTTGGACTAGGAAACCAAATGCCAGCTTAATCCCAAAGACCAATCCTGTCTAAAAGCGCTGGAAGGAAGCAGCCTGCAAATGCAATGCTTGCTCCTCATCAGGGGAGAGGAATTTCATCCTGCAATGCCATGAATGCCATCACAGCCAGAAACTGAGCTGCTTGCAGAAGAGGCTCTTTAGGATGAGGGGAGATGCTGCCACAGCAACTTCCAGGCAGTTCTGCAGTTACGTGATGTTGGCCTCTGCATCGCCTGGTATTAGATCATTGTCTTTCTTGTCAGCAGTGGAAAGTTTGTAGCTTTAGATTCCTACAGACAGCCATCACAGTATGACATTTTAGTGCTACGGAATCAATTAACAAGGGACAGGAAACCAGATTTTGGTGTAAAAAAGAATAGAGAGGACAACCTTCACTGGTTAGCCCCATTGCTCCCACGTTTCCCTAAAGAAGTGTGGAAAGAAATGTGGATTTAGGGTGATAGGCTGGATGGAGAGGTGCTGCAATGAGCTAAAGCTGTCTTGGCTTGTGGGATGGGAAGCTGAGAAGATGCCCAAGTCAAACTTCAGGGACCAGTTTTGGAGTCATATATGGAGTAGTGAACATGAACTGTGCTGGTATTTGGGGACATCTGCTCTCGAAGCTGATTCAGTTTCTAAACTTTGTCATAAACTTCTTAAAACCATGAAGCATTTGGCAGGGGACAGCCAGAAGATGATGGATTTTTCCAGCCCTGTGGAAAGAGTCAGAACCGCTTCCATGATGCCACATGGGCCAGATCAGGGACATTGCAAGGAGTAAAATGGAAAACAATGCAAAGGCACGTGAGTGCGGGATGAGGGAGGTTTGCTTTGCAGGATTTGCATCAGCGTTGTCTTTGGCTTCGATCCAGGCAGCTCTGCACCCCTTTGAGTCGCTTAAACAAACCCGACTTTGACAGCAGAACTCTGTCAGGACCTCTGAGTGCCCCCCAGCCTCACATTCACACCAGGGGAATGGTAAATGGCATGTGAGGTGGGCGCAAGGGCAGTGGGTCTGCTCTGAAGGTCTCTGCTCTTTTCACACACATGAAAAGCTATTCATAGGGGTCTGCATGTGGGTTTTAAGCTTTGTGATACAGATTCAGCACAGCCCCGTGCTGATGCCAAGTGTTCTGGACAGGGCTGTAATGGAGCAATAAAGCTCAGCTCCACCTTCAGTTTTTGCTAGGTTTAAAGGAGATGGTCAGATTGGAGATTGGCTCAGCACGCCCCAGAAGGGTGTAGGGGGATCTAGCGCTGGATCCAGACGTACCCTGATGCTGAGCCGTCAGCGGGTGATCGAGGGCATCACTTCAGATCACCAGTGACACGAGTTTTGGTGCATGGATAATGAACAACCCAGTGCATATTACAGAACAGCCGTAGGTTTGTTCCAGCAGATAGTTAGGGTTTCTCCATTTTATGGCAAGGTTTGCAAGGGCAGAGGAAAGTTTCTGCTCTGCAGAGTTGGGAGCAAGCTGCTGGCTGGGGCTAACATCAATATATGGGGCCTTGTGATTATTTTATTTAGAGCTTTTTTGCAATTAACCTCGGCCCTAAAAGTCTTTCTGTTTTGATGAGGTTATTTTCATATGGCACAAGTTGAAAGGGGGCTGAGACAGCCCCACATATGTATTATAATCATGTTTGAGCCGTTTTTGTTCCTCATCTGTTTAATGTCATCTGTGCTGCCAAAGCAGCTAAGCTCCTTCAGGGCGAAACTGCGTAATGGGAAGTGACTTCCCTGATTTACTGTCCCTGTATGCAGCTATGGAAGTCAGGCATTGCTGGATCAGTCTGAGCTCTTCTATCCTTATTACTCAATTACCATTACTTTTACAAGTGGATGTTAACCTCCCGATAACCATTAACTCTTGTCAGTTGTTGCATGTATACAGCAGCCTCAGCAACTAAATTGGAATTTGAATTAAAGTCCAGGTTTGGATTTACCCAGCACTTTGGAAGAGCTACAAGGCCACAAGCAGGGTTGAATCTGGTAAGTAATTGGGGTGAGGAAGAGTTTGCATGGAGGCAGTTCCCCCCTCACTCTTGGACTCAGACCACGCTCTGGGATAAGGAGGCAGACACTGCTCTCATACTGCTGCTGCTGCAACCTGAAGTTTTGAAGCCTGTATCCCTTTCACACATATGTGATCAAGCTGTGGATGTGGAGCCAGCTCCAGCCTCCTGGAAAAGACGCATGGTGGGGTGTACGGAGAAGAGTTTGCATCATGGGTTCTGCTTTAGACTCTGCCTTCGGAAGTGCCTATGCCCCAAAGTCCCAAGTGATGGACAACAAGAGCTGTGGGATGTTGGGGAGTTGAGACAGATGGGTCTCTTCTTGCTGTCCTTCTCCATGAAGCCATCTGAAGCTATTGGGGGGGGAAAGGTTCTGGAGTGGGAAGGGGCAATGTTTAATTTTACCCCTGACCTGTGCAGAAGCTGTGGTCACCCCTACCAGCACTGCATGCTCCTTTCCCATCACCTCTGTATTCCTCTTGCCCCCTTTGCTGCTAAGGGAGTAGTGACAATGTGCTGTCATGATTCAAAAATGTGTCACATAGATTCATTTCTCAGGTCCTTCTCACTTCCCCGAGTACACACAGACATTTAACAACCTAGAACTGTAATAGAAGCAATTACATGAACACAGAGGCAAATGCAGGTTCTAGCACCCTCCCAGAGAGGCTATGTGTGCATTTGCTTAATGCTTTTAATTACAGCTGTTAATATGACAGATTGCTACGACTTTTGACTGCTTCTGTTTAGGTTGGGATGTTCTGGTACTCAGCAAATGCTCCAGAGATGCTTGGGAGCAGCAGCCTGCACAGGAAGCAGTGTTACTGAGTCAAAACCATATCCCAGGGCACTGCAGCAAATTCAAGTGATTTTTTTCTTCTTCTTCTCTTTTCAATAGGGAGTTTTTCCTGCTTCACCTCCCGGTGTGAATGTGGATGGATGAGCAATGAACAGCAATGGGAAAGGAAATGCAGAGAAACCACACAACCATTTACTGGGGCTTTAACAAAATATTATCATTCTTCATGTTTGTCGGCATGTGGCACTTTGCTTTGAACCAGGGATGGTTTAAATTCCTTCTTGCTTTGAAGACTTCATTTTCTCCCATAGAGATTATGGGGACTGCCTTGGATAATTTTAGGACTTCGGCTCACTATCTGCGGAGCTCAGGCATGGTTTTGCACCATGTCTATTTTATTTGCCACCTGCCAGCTAGGGTCCACATTTTCCCAAAGTCTAGATGTCATGCACACATCCTGAGCTAAGCCTTTTGCTGTGGCTCACACCCTGTATTGGATGCGCATGGCTCAAGCACCCAGCACACACAGAGACACGGCTCAGCACCACTCATTGAATAGCATTTCACTTGTTAAATAACATTTCCCGGTGTGGTGAAAGCCTCGACCTTGCACACAGTGACTTTGCAGACAGACAGAGCAGACGTACGTGTGACAAGGTGTTTTGCTGCTGATGCAGAACCCAGGCTCAGTGAGTGGGGTTAGTAGGCAAGCGAGGTATGAACCTAAAGAACTATCTCAGTTACTCTGAACAGAGCTCGGTCAGGACTTTGCTCATTCTCTGATGTGACCAATGCAGAATGGACAAGGAACATTTGGAGGTGACATGAGAAACCACCATGTCCCAGGCCTGGGGACTGTTACCAAGCAGAAGATGGGGGTAAGGCTTGAAGAAAGCATGTCAGCATAAAATACACAGCAGTTTGGTCAGGAGGGGAGCACACTGAAAAGGTCTAATAGATGAAAACCAAGACAAATTCAAAATGAAGCCTGTAGACACAGCAGTCATTGTCGAGTACTTCTGAATGACTCTTGTGCCTATGTTTGTGTCTGCAGACAGTAAAGTAGAAAGAGATTGTTGTCTTTACTCACACACATTCCCTCGCCCTGAGTTAACTTCCTTGGGTAGAAGAGTGCCCAGAAATAAACTGTCATAGCCACCAAGTTCAACTGCCAAGGGGTGGCGAAATGTCCAGCTCCAATGTCTTCAATCGAGACCAGTTTCCTTCTTTGAAGATATGCTTTTGCCAAGCACAAGTTGTACCTCAGTCAGGCCCCAGTTACTGGACTTGATACAGCTGAAATGTAATGGCCCATGAAATAAAGGTCAGCAGAAAGGGAAAAGATTATTGAATGGTTTCTTCTGGCTTCAAGTGTATGAATCTGCAAAAGGTTGGTAACTCGTACCCACCGTCATGGTGCTTTTCATGGTATCCTTTGATAACGGGATTAGGAAGTACCAATATTAGTTCAAAAGAGCTGCTGAAACATCGCTGACATTTGGTCATTACCAGCCTTCAGTCACTATTGATCGGTGTCTGCACCGGAGCCGGTAATCCAGCACGGGGAGGGATCCACAGCAGCTGCACACACGTTGGAGATCAATACGGAGCCTGGCCAAAGGGATGCTGCTTGGCACTACTCTCTCCAGCGCTCGTGATGGGAGCCTGGAGCTTGCTGTGGGTGTTCAAATAAGCTACTCTTGGGTTTTGTGCTGTAGCAGATTATTCTGCCAAGCAGTCTGGCAGCATCCTCCCTTCTCAGAACAGAGGAATCACCATCTCACTTCTCCCAAAGCATTTACTGTCGGCAGCAGCTGCCCTGCATTCAACAGTGTTCCTGAAGCATGAATATTTCATGGGACCAGTTTTGGGGACTTTACTTCTGGTTGAGTTTTCATGGCCAAGAACTAGATTTTTTGTGCCTATCAGCACTTC